GATTGTGATTGGTGGATCTGTTTTCGGCCATATCACTGTCAGGATAATTATTAAACAAACGAGTAAAAAAAATAATAATAGACTATTCATTGTTATATATGATCGTCAGTAGTTTCCAAATGTTCGTATATCTGTTGAAATAACGAAGAAAATTTTATTAATGAATTGGCAACTCAACTACAACCACAGCTGCCACAAGATTCTGACATAAAATTTTCTTCATTATTTAAACAAATATACGAACATTTGGGAACTTCTCGTGATCTTAATTAACAATGAATAGTTTATTAATAAAATTCTTCCTTTGGGTTGTTTAATAATTATCCTGACAATGATACAGCCGAAAACAGATCCATCAATCACCTTTATAGCCTTCCTCTACCAAGTATTGCCAGGTAAAAGTGCGAGCACGAGTCCCAGGGTGGGGACGGCGCATCTTTGGCTGACTGTACGTACAATAAATGGAGCCTACAAATCAGTAGGATTAAAGTCTGATCGTTGCGAAGAAAACGTTTGGATGCAAGTGATGACACGCGTGTTGCCATTTCAAGGAAAGTTCCTCGTTCCACGAACATTATCGACCAAAAGCAAGAACAAAAGAGCCACTAAGTTCGGTAAAATCAAGCAGATGACTTTGTTTGGCTGTATTATTGAATAAATCTAAGTCACTTCTAAGTGTGTCGTTGTGCATTTCAGCTGTATTTGCTCTGAAAATAAAGAGTTTATACGAATCTAAGACTTAGTTTTGACAAGGGGTTAGGCTTATCCGATGTGCGATCAGATGATCATCCACAATACATTACAATTGCGTATTGATTCAATTGGCTACTACGTCGATTAGCTCGTCACTAATCATGTGGTCACGTAGTGATACAGGTGGCACGCCTCATGTTTCCTGATAAAATGTAAAAACCCTAATCGGTCAGTCGCAACGATCGTTAAAAACCTTCAGATTATGTCGTAAAAACCCTAATCGGTCAGTCGCAACGATCGTTAAAAACCTTTCAGGTTATGACATGCTTATTACTGTTACCTCACTGAACTGGAGCCAAGAGACTTGTAGGGAAGAGTATCCACTGCAATATTGTAGTGGATACTTTCCCCCTAGACTCACGAATTTGAATACACCGGGTAGATCAACCGCCCGAACAGCTAGTAAGCAGATAAGTGCAGAAATGATAAATATAAATATTAATTAGCATCACATAACGTGCTGTGCCTGGCTATGTGTTTGTTATGTGTCACTAAGTTGTGTTTTCTTAAAGCATTTCGCGGTGGTGCCCACGAGAGCAAATTTTTCCTCCTTCAGCCAAGATTCGGTTCATAATTGTAAATTTACCAGTTTAAACTCCATAACCTTATCTTATATACATTATTGTGTTTTGGAATCCAGTGGTGCAGATTCACAAAAATAAAGTGATTATTATTATCATTATTATTATTGTTGTTAGAAATAATATTGTTAGTGTTAGTAGTGGTACTGTAGCCAGTATACACACAGTATCATTCATAGTAAAATATGGTCTCTCGTAATTTTTAGAAACGAAATAAGAACACTGTGGTTCAGCTAGGTATGATGATCCTTAACGTTAACCTCTGCCTGAGGGGGGTTACGATATTGTAGTTATCATCAGCATTATACGAAAGTCGTCCTTATGGTGGACTGTGTCAGACTTAACACTGTAGCACATTGTACTGTGTCACTCTTTTCTCGCTGTTCTCTGTTACACTTCACTTTATCTTACTGCACTGTCATGCTAAACTGTCACACTGTGCTCTGATACAATGGACTATCAAACTGTACTCAGTGATGCACTGGACTGTCACACTGGACAGTGTCACACTGAACTGTGTCACACTGAACTGTGTCACACTGTACTCTGCCAGACTGCATTTGTGTTGCTGGAATCAGTCTTTACTCCATGTATTATCCTTCCAAATTACAGACTCGGGTATTTATTACCCGGCTCACACCCATTTCTTCTGTTTCTTCTTCCTTCCGCCTTTTCTTCCAGTTCTTCTTTATTTCCAGATTATATGTACTTTTCTTTTATTTCTACATTATTTTATTTTGCTTCTTTGAGTTTTATTTTATTTTCTCCTTCCTGTCTTTTCCCGTTGACTTTCTCCTCTCATTCACTTCCTCCTACCGTCCCTCCCATGTACTGTACCGTTTTCTGACACTGCCTCCACTTCAGACACTTTCCATACTTTCTGATACTGTCTCCTCACTACTAACAACTCCCATACTTTCCTGGCAGTTCCTCCAATATTGACACATCCCTTATATACCACCACTGGCACCCATCTCCTCCACCACTGGCACCCATCTCCACCACTGGCACCCATCTCCCCCACCACTGGCACCCATCTCCTACCACTGGTACCACCCTCACCACTGGCACCCATCTTCCTACCACTGGCACTCATCTCCCACCACTGGCACTCATCTCCCTACCACTGGCACTCATCTCCCTACCACTGGTACCCATCTCCCCTACCACTGGTACCATCTCCCCTACCACTGGCACCCATCTTCCCTACCACTGGCACTCATCTCCCCACCACTGGCACCCATCTCCCTACCACTGGCACCCATCTCCTCACCACTAGCACCCATCACCTCCACCACTGACACCCATCACCTCCACTTCTGGCACACATCACCTCCACCACTAGCACCCATCACTCTCCACCACTGACACCCATCTCCCCACCACTGGCACCCATCTCCCACCACTGGCACCCATCTCCACGGCACCCATCTCACCCACCACTGGCACCCATCTCCCACCACTGGCACTCATCACCCCCACCACTGGCACCCATCACCTCCACCACTGGCACTCATCTCCCCACCAGCACCCATCACCTCCACCACTGACACCCATCACCCCCACTACTGGCACCCATCACCCTCCACCACAGCACCCACCACCCTCCACCACCCATCACCTCCACCACTAGCACCCATTTCCCCCACCACTGGCACCCATCTCCCCGCCACTGGACCCATCTCCCCCACTGCTACCCATCTCTCCTGCACTCATCTCCCCCAGCACCCATCACCTCCCACCACTAGCACCCATCACCCTCCACTAGCACCCATCACCCTCACCACTGGCACCCATCCTCCTCCACCACACCCATCACCCTCCACTGGCACCCATCACCCTCCCACCACTAGCACCCATCACCCTCAACACTGGTACCCCTCCCTGCCTCATCTCCCCCCACCCTGCACCCATCACCCTCCTAGCACCCTCACCCTCCACCTCTGCACCCCTCACCCTCCACCTCTGCTTCCCTCCTCCACCTCTGGCACCCACCCTCACCTCTGGCACCCTCACCTCACCTCTGCTCCCTCACCCCTCACCTCTGGCACCTCCCCTCCACCTCTGCACCCCTCACCCTCACCTCTGGCTTCCCCTCACCCCTCCACCTCTGCACCCCTCACCCCTCCACCTCTGGCACCCTCACCTCTAGACCCACCCTCCACCTCTAGCACCCACCCTCCACCTCTGCACTCACCCTCACCTCTGGCACTCACCCCTCCACCTCTGCCTCCCTTCACCTCCCCTGCACCCCACCTCCCTCCCCAGCACCCCACCCTCCCACCTCTAGCACCCCACCCCTCCCACCTCTAGGACCCCCTCCCTCCCCTGCACCCACCCTCCCACCTCTGCACCCTACCTCCCTCTGGGACCCACCCCTCCCACCTCTAGGCCCACCCTCCCCACCTCTGGCACCCACCCTCCACCTCTGGCACTCACCCCTCCACCTCTAGGACCTACCCTCCACCTCTGCTCTCACCCTCCCACCTCTGGCACCCACCCTCACCTCTCGCACTCACCCCTCCACCTCTGGCACCCCCCCTCCACCTCTGGCACCCTCACCCTCCACCTCTGGCACCCCACCCTCACCTCTGGCACTCACCTCCACCTCTGGACCCACCCTCCACCTCTGGCACCCACCCTCCTCCACCTCTGGCACCCACCCTCCACCTCTGGCACTCACCCTCCATCTCTGGCATCCACCCTCCACCTTTGTCATCACCCTCGCGACCAATGCCAACACCCTCTCCACCACTGCCAACACCTCCACCACTAGTACCATCTCCCCAACCATTAACACCAGCCCTCGACGTACCCAGTACCGCCCCTTACCCTTCAACACCAACCTTAACCATCTCACACTGCCCCTCCACCACAAACACTCTGCTCCTCTACCTCTGTCACCTCCATTACGTTCTCATTCACTGTCCCCCGACTTTTTACTCCGACCCTCCGCTTCTTTAACTTTCTCTCTTCCCCTGGCTGCCCCCGCGCTATCCCTGCACCACATTATTGTTGTCTTCCACTTGAGCAAGCACCACCACTTTCCTGGTGTCTAGTATGTTGTTGACTCATTCATTTGCAGGTTTTATTTTTCATATTCTAATTCACTTCTGCATTAACTTCTTCCTCTACATTCGACATTTCTTGTCGCGCTTACGTGGGTAACGTCGTGGGTATAGTAGGTGTTGCTTATGTGTACCTACACGTGTGGGTGTGTTGTGGGTCATGCCCGTGTAAAGATGATGCGGGTCCTCCCTTGGCCAGGTGATGGTCTGGTGTGGTGGCGAGTTGCGTGGTGAGACAGACGCACAGACACCTGAGAGAGGGAGGGAGGGGGCGACTCCTTCTGTGGTCAAGGTTGTTGTTGTCGTCACCGCCTCTCTCGCCTGGCTTCACCTTCTGCAGTGTGATCGCCGAAAGCTTTGTTCCTCTCCACGTTGTTGGTAGTGATTGACGAGGGTAGGATAATAATGCGTTTGGTATTCTGGCATCGTTCGTACTGGATGGCGGTGGGGAGGGAGCTGGGATCCCGGGAGGCTGGCCCCCCTCGCGTGACCTTCCCCACTGCTGTGGGAAGGAGAGCACGGGTGGCAGGCGGCGCGCGGCAGTAGCGCGGCGGGCGGGGTCAGGAGCGGCAGTGGCTGGGCGTGGGCGTGTAAGGACATGACCTCGCACATATCGGGCGTGGGCGTGAGGAGCAGCAGCAGCAGCAGCAGAAGCAGCTTGGTGGGCAGTGCCTTCAGTAGTTCGAGGCAGGGAGAGTCTGCCTTTGGCAGCAGCGGCGGCGGTAAGGATTCCCGCCTCCCGCTGGTGGCTGGACAAGGTCCTGGCTCACAAACACGCCGTACGTACTCCGCCAACCCTACAGTCTCCTCCAGGCACCTCCCTCACCGCTCCCCCACTCTTACTCCGCACCTCCCAGCGGTGACCACTCTCCCTCACTCCCTGAGGACACCACCACCACACAAGGACCCTCTCTCGCCGCTGCTGGGGCCGCTGCCGATATTACGCTGCAGTGGCTCTCTTGTGACTGTTCCCTGCCTCACATCACTATACTACCGCCTTTTTAAAATAGTTTAGTTCACTCACCAGTCTTCTAGCTCTGTCCCAACCCTACAGCAACACCAGCACCACTGTTACTACCACTTTGACACCCCCTCATGGACGGCCTGGAAGTGAGTGGGTGGTTTACCAGCCTTACACGACAACAACATAACGACTTTGACTACTCCCACCCTCGTGGTGTGACATCCCCACACCCCCATAAAGTCGCTGTATGCCCCCTCACCCCTATAAAGTCACTGCGGGTGATTATCGCCTTTACCTTGGTTGACACCACTTTTTTATTAGCTGTTTCATCATATCTTGGATAGTCAATGAAACAGCCGCATTCTGAGTGTTTTTATAGTAGTGATGGACTCACATGTGGTACAGTTGGGTTGTTTAGTGTAAGGTTTTGATTAGCTGCATAATTGCCTCATACGTCTTGAGGCGAGTGTCGTAGTACTGTACAATAATTACTGATTCTAATTATCGGTAATTACAAGCAGTATATTTTTGCTTGCTTTAATTTTTTTTTGTGACAGTATTTATGGTTTGTACAGTTTATACGTGATGTTTTATATTCTTACACGTTTGCCTTTCTTATATACTGTAATACTTTACTATACAAGTATATAAATGTATATTATTTGTGTATTTTCCGTGGGTTTTTATGGTGATGATTGTTATATGATGACCGTCCGTATATTGACCTAATGCTGTGAGCTGCTAGTAATCCTTCAACAACAGTTTATGATAATTACGGTGATGTAGACCGTTTTGCCCACCACCACCACCACCACCACCACCACCACCACCACTACTACTACCACCACCACCACCACCACCACCACCACTACTACTACTACTACTACTACTACTTTTTAAGTGGCCTCCAGCCTCCCCCAATAGCCACACCTTTGCCGCCATTTTATTACCTTAAAATTAAGTACTACTACTACTACTACTACTATTATTTTTATTTGATTTTATATTATTGGCCTCCATCCTCCCCTTATAGCCATACTTCTCATTTTATTACCTTAAGATTAAATATCCTAATACAGGTGCCAACCTGTCGATCTCGATCGACTGGTCGATCGCAAGATCTTCTCTAGTCGATCGCATGGCAAAGTTAAACTTAATGATCCATCCTTCTGTCATACAAAAATCCTCTTCAAATTTTACTTATAATTGGGATATTATATTTGTTTAGATTTTTTCTGGGAATAGATTATCACACATCAGAGCGATACATACAAAAAACTTGACCGTGCCATGCTGTGTGTGGCGGAACCTGATAGGAAGTGTTCGCGTTCATACGGGCCTTTTTAGAAGCAGCATATTCGTTGTTTGAAAATTTCACAAATAAGTCTGAAATAATGTTTTCTATTATGTATTAAGGATGTTCAGCTATCAAGAAACACTGTCATGAGGCGCTTTGAATTTATGGCTGAGGTTTGTGTGAACAACTGAATAAAGACATACGTGAGTGTGTGTTCTTTTCATTACAATTTGTCGAGTCTACTGATGTGGTCGATACATCACAATTATGTATTTTCATGAGAATGGTGTTTAAAGACATGAGTACCAAAGAGGAATTGCCGAAAATTCTCCCATTAAAAGGAAAAACTCGGGATGAAGACTTATTTCAGACTTTCAGTGATTTTGTTAATAGTACACAGTTTCCATTAAGTGCTCGTATTTAAAAATACTGATGGGGCACCTGCATTGGCTGGCCGAATCAGGTGGGTTCATTCTGTGCAGGAGTGATGATAGGTTTCCTATCTTTTTTTGGCCTCAAAAGATTGATCTTTTGATCACAAAAGTGTGGCTAGATTTAGCTTGATTACATGATTACATACTGAATAAACTAAACTTAGATCTGCAAGGGAAAGATAAAACTACAGTTGACATGATTAGTCCTGTGGCTGCTTTTAAGCAGAAACTAAAACTAGTGTCTTCGCAGCTGCATCAACATTAACTACGAAACTTCAGAAATATAATGTTGAAAACCAAAAACCGGAGACTGTGACCAGTTTGGCAGTACTCGATATATTGAACACGTACAAAACTCACTTCATATTTTAACAGACGGTTTCAAATATAGCAACAATAGAACCTGTTGCAACATATATGTTTTCCATTTGGTAAAATCACAAATGTTGAAGATATTGCATCTTGAATGGAATCAGTATTTAAATGGACATATAGAAGTCGAAAATGAGCTTCTGAAGCTTAAAATGATACTCAGATCAAATCCAGGGCAACAGGAGGAAGTTTCTGGAACCTTCTCAGTGAAGAAAATATCCCAATGCAGAAAATGTGCCATGTACCTACAGCATTTTTTGATCAACCCACCTTTTGAATCAACATTTTCACACATGAAACACATCAAATACCGATCAACAATGTCAGATGAACACCTGGATGCTTGCTTGAGGCTATCAGTCACCGCCTACAGTCCTACTATAACAAAGCTGGCAGACAACATGCAGTGCTAATCATCTCATTAGTAAAGTAAGTTTATGATTGTCCTGTTAACAATATATCATAACAATTATTAAAAATATTTCTGAATCTATGTATTTTATGGCAATGGGTGAATATATTGTAGATCGCGTCAGGTAACTGTGGAAAAGTAGATCACATCACACAAAAGGTTGGCCACCCTGTCCTACATAAGTAGCTATCCTAGCTGTTGAGTTAGTTGAGTCGCAGATCTATGTGGCATTCAGTGACTATTGCCTCATAGTCAATATCTGCAACTTGTTGTCGGCTTTGGGGCCGATGCTCTCGTTCCCTGTGAGGCAGAGCAAAGCCGACCTAAGAAGCGAAGGACAGTCGACATCTCATCCAGGCTGTAACATTACTTCTGGGTGCTGCTTCTATTTGGATAGCACCTCCGCGAGTCTGGGCGTAGAAACATCTTGCATGGTCCCATCCCACTAGGGTTGTGAACACTAGAGGATTGGAACGTGATCAACGTTCTGAATTTCTCCCGTATGTCCTATCTTGTCGTTCTCGTTCCTCCTGTGTGCAGCATCAAGAGCTAAGTTACGGTGACATGCGGCCGTGGGATAAAAATCCTGATGTCGAAGAGGCTCGCTGTCCTCGCGTCCAGAATCCTCGAGCACTGACGTCCATACGGGCTTCGTTTGATGTGTTTGAAGTCCTATGTTGGAAATTCTCACCATCCAATGGAAGGAGGTCAGTTCTACCCTGACATCGGCAGATTTCCTTCAACATATTTGCTGTGAGATCCCTTACTTCGTCATGCCTCATGCATATGAAGTCCTCTTTCTTGCACACCATGGCGTGATCGACGTCATAGGAAGAGCCACACACGCATTGGTAGGGCAAACCTTCTACTGGCCTACCGTACCTTTGAGCAATGGCATCTGTAAATTCTTGTTTATTGAGACTGAAACCATTTGCCCTTATCGGTAACGCAATTAACCAGTTCGAGGCGCCCACCTCCTGCACTATAGCTTCTTTTTTTTTTCAAATTGTCTGGTACTTGCAGCAACAGTTGCTGCAACTTATCAGTTGGCCGTGCTGTCGTTCTGTCGTAATGAACTTTCGAATCGTATTTATTTCACTGGTATCCACCTCCCTGTTGCGTTCTGAGCTATTATGTGGTCCGTGAGGGCTGCCTTGAGCTTAACTGAGATTTGATGTTTTGTGGCAGCAATCTCCTCTGGATTGGTCAATCCCATTCCTCCTAGTCTCGGTGGTAGTGCAAGGAGTGATCTTTCTCTGGATTAAGTGAAGGGTGTTTCACTAATTTGGAATGAAATTGACGCTGATAGCTTCTTCAGAGGGTGGAGGAGGGTCCGATATCAGGATAGTACGCATCCGGTAGTTCCAGCGATGTGACTCCATGGGTGAATGCCTAAAAGCCGCATGTGGCTCTGTGTTAGCAATCTCAGACAGAGGTTGAACTTCCTAACCCACTAATTCACCTTTTCCCATTACGTTGCTGTGTGAAAGAACGTCGTGCCGATTATTACGCCTAGGTGTCTTTGGCCATCCTTTTACTACTACCACCACCACCAACAACAAAACAACAACACATATCACTACCACCACCACATATCACCACTATCAACACCACTAACATACATAATCATTCACCGTCATCATACATCACCAAGATACACCACCAACATACCCCACCAACATACCCCACCAACATGCACCACCAACACACACCACCAACACACACCACCAACACACACACACCAGCACCACCAACACACACCACCAACACACACACCACCAACACACACCACCAACACACACCACTAACACACACCACCAACACACACACCACCAACACACCACCTAACACACACCACCAACACACCACCAACACACACACCACCACCAACACACACCACCAACACACACCACCAACACACACACCACCAACACACAACACCACCAACACACACACCACCAACACACACCACCAACACACACACCACCAACACACACCACCAACACACACACCACCAACACACCACCAACACACACCACCAACACACCACCAACACACACCACCACCAACACACACACCACCAACACACACACCACCAACACACACCACCAACACACACACACCAATTAAATACACACACCACCAACACACACACCACCAACACACACACCACCAACACACACACCACCAACACACACACCAACACCACCAACACACATACCACCAACACACACACCACCAACACACACACCACCAACACACACACCACCAACACACACCACCAACACACACCAACCAACACCACCAACACCAACACACACAC